CCTCTCCTCCCCGTAATTGCCTCTCGGAATGATAGCGGCCCATTGGATGTGGCCGGAGGTGGTCGGGCTGCAGTTGGGATGCCCGTGGGGGTGCCCGATGGCGGTGTCGAGGGAAGCCCGGTAAGGTGGCCCGCAGCTGTCGGTTGTGGTCCCTCCACAACCACTCCATCTTCACGAACGTATAAGATGGCCTGTTCGGAAATAGTCCCTGCCGGTGAGAGGCCAGCCAGGGGTGGTATTGGGGGTGTACGGGAAGGGCCCGTCGGGGGCTGGACAGTCTGAGGTGCTCCGGTGAGGGTGGAGGAGGAGCCGCGACACAATGGGTTGTATTTTGTTGCTAGGTTTTTTTTTTTTTTTTTTAAACAAACAACGCCCCGGAAGGGCGGGGGATTGGGCTGGATCCCAACCTGTGCATAGATCAGGACCCCAAGGTCGGGGCCCAATATATCAATGATCAAGGTACAATAGTCTACATCGTCTCACAAATCAAAATCAAAAACCAAAAGCAAAAAAGAACCGAAAAACGAAAAGGAAATAGAAACTACAATACATAGTCGATCTTCGGGCTAGGAGATGCCCGAAATAAATGTCTATACTAATGAAGGCAAAAATCCTAAACTAGTGGAAGCGGAACGCAGGATATCCAAGCTGGTCCATCCGTACAAGGGTGCTAAGGCGGAGTGGAGCAGTGTCGGTCTGGAATTTATGTGTGTCTGGTATGGTGGCGCCAAGGCTGGCACGATAGTCGGCAGGTCTGTTCCCCTCACGGAAGATGTGCGTGATCCTGTGATGGACAGACCGGAGTAGATCTCTAATACGCATAAGCGGGTGCTGAATCTGCCACGAGCCCTGGTGGCCCGAGGTCAAAAGGGTGGCTACAGCCGCCGCGTCTAGCTCGATCTAAATATGGCTAGAGAGGTGGACAGCAATCTGAAGGCCGATCTGTAATGCCTGAATCTCTGCATCATAGCTCGAGGAGGCCTGAAGGGATGCGTGGAAGGCGGTGATGAGGGCGCCGCTGTGGTCCCAGATCAAGCCTCCTCCTCCGGCAACTCCAGTGTGGCGATCAAAAGACCCATCAGTGTTCAGCTTGACCCACGGAGAGTCAGGTCGAAGCTAAACAACAGCTCTGGGTCGAGGGGGCCAAACAGGCAGTGGTGGGGCCACCCTATAGCGATGTGGCGGCGTGCAGCCTGTCCAGTCTCGGGCCGTGAGCCTGCCCAATGCGATGAGGAGTGAAATGTGTCTCTCTACCTGCAAAATAATGTGAGAAAACATAAAAGTAATATCCCTATGCTTCGCACAATTCCTTTCTGTCCAGGTGAACCAAAGGATCAGACAAGGAATGAGGAAGCCCACGTGTCTAAGGTGTGTGCTCTGTGAGAAAAAACTCAGAAGCTCAAAGAAACTGTATGTGGTGGGTAGGGATATATGTGTCCAAGTGGCAAAATGCTCCCACACTCTCCTCACAATCTCACTCTCTAAAAAAAGGTGGGTAAAAGTCTCGGTCTCATGGCGTCCAGTCTCAGAACAACAAACGCATCGAGAGGGGAAGGAGATCCCCCTCGCGTGTAGCACAGTATCGACGGGTATCCGGTGCAAGAGGAGGCGCCAAAGGAACACCGAAATAGTAGGGGTGAAAAGGTCACTCCAGATGGCCCCGAAGAGAAGATTCGGCCGATCCCTCAACCTGATCTGCTCCCAAGCCGAGGTAGTAGAAAACACACCCGATGATGTAAGTCTCCACCTCATGCTATCTGAACCGTCTCCCGAGATAGGGATCTGCTGGATCTGATCTAATAAATGCCCGCTAAATCCCGCACCAGACCCCAACTCCCTATCAAGCTTCCCCCTATCCCACGACCCGTCCGTCCAGAGGTCGCTCACAAGCAGGTAGGGGGAATGCGACACCTGCTTATCCCTAGACAACGGCCTATCACCTACCCACCACTCATCCCAAAAACTAACATCGCCCTCGCCTAGAACCCAGAAAATGTGATCATGGGCACGCCTACCCACCCTAGTGAGGCGCCGCCACTACCTACTATCATGATCAACAGCCGTCACCCAACAAGGGTGGTTGGCACGTCTAGAGCAGTACTTGCCGCAGAGGTACTGAGCCCAAAGCGACTTTCCTTCCCTGAAGCGCCACCACAGCTTGTATGAGAAGGCTGTAACAATGTCCCTGAGGCGGCGGATGCCAAGCCCACCCTCGGGAATGGGGCGACAGATGGAGTCCCAACTCACCCAGTGGGTACGTCTCCCCCTTCCAGAACCGTCCTCGTAACCCCAGAAATAACGAGCTATAATCTGGTCTATCTCGTCAAGAGTAGACCTAGGGGGGTCGAGGACCATAAGCAAGTGAATCGGAAGAGAGCTAAGAGTACTCTTGTTTCTAGGTTAGTTGTCTGTTGTTGCTAGGTTAGTTAATTGTGGCTACTAGGTTAGTTGAGTTTTGTTGCTAGGTTTTTTTTTTCTTTTTTAAAACAACAACGCCCCGGAAGGGCGGGGGATTGGGCTGGATCCCCAACCTGTGCATAGATCAGGGCCCGAAAAACGGGAGCCCAAAATGTCAACGAACCAGATACAAAGGTCTACATAGTCTGAAAATCAAAAACAAAAACAAGAAAAACAAAAAAGAAAAAAACCGAAAAATGAAAAAGAAACAAAAAACCTACATAATAAAGTCGATCTTCGGGCTAACAGATGCCCGAGATAAGTCTATACTAATGAAAATAGAAATCCTATACTAGTGAAAGCGGAACGCTGGGTATCCAAGCTGGTCCATCCGTACAAGAGTGCGAAGGCGGAGTGGAGCAGTGTCGGTCTAGAATGTATGTGTGCCTGGTATGGTGGCGCCAAGGCTGGCCAGGTAATCAGCCGGTCTGTTCCCCTCACGGAAAATGTGCGTGATCCTGTGATGGACTGACTGAAGTAGATCTCTAATGCGCAGAAGTGGGTGCTGAATCTGCCACGAGCCCTGATGGCCCGAAGTCATGAGGGTGGCGACAGCCGCAGCATCCAGCTCGATCCATATATGACTAGAGATGTGGGCAGCTATCTGAAGGCCAATCTGTAGTGCCTGAATCTCTGCGTCGTAGCTCGATGAGGCCTGAATGGACGCGTGAAAGGCGGTGATAAGGGCGCCGCTATGGTCCCGAATCAAGCCTCCTCCTCCGGCAACTCCAGTGTGGCGATCGAAGGAGCCATCAGTGTTCAGCTTGACCCAAGGAGAATCAGGTCGAAGCCAAACAACAGCTCTGGCCCGAGGAGTCCGAACAGGCGGTGGTGGGGCCACCATGTAGCGCTGTGGTGGCGTGCAGCCTGTCCAGTCTCGGGCCGTGAGCCTGCCCAATGAGATGAGGAGTGAAATGTGTCTCTCAACCTGCAAAAAAATGTGAGAAAATATAAAAGTAGTATCCCTATGCTTCGCACTATTCCTTTCTGTCCAGGTGAACCAAAGGATCAGACAAGGAATGAGGAAGCCCACGTGTCTAAGGTGTGTGCTCTGTGAGAAAAAACTCAGGAGCTCAAAAAAACTGTATGTGGTGGGTAGGGATATATGGGTCCAAGTGGCAAAATGCTCCCACACTCTCCTCACAATATCACTCTCTAGAAAAAGGTGGGTAAAGGTCTCAGTCTCATGGCGTCCAGTCTCAGAACAACACACACACCGAGAGAGGAAGGAGATCCCCCTCGCGTGTAGCACAGTATCGACGGGTATCCGGCGCAAGAGAAGGTGCCAAAGGAATACCGAAATAGTAGGCGTAAAAAGGTCACTCCAGATAGCCCCGAAAAGGAGATTAGGCCGATCCCTCAGCCTTATCTGCTCCCAAGCCGAGGTAGTAGAAAACACACCTGATGATGTAAGTCTCCACCTCATGCTATCTGAACCGTCCCCCGAGATAGGGATCTGCTGGATATTGTTGAGAACAAGTAAATTAAATTAAAAATTTAAGTTAAATTTTGAGTTAAAAATTTGTATCTCATATTAATTCCGTCCAAAAAGTTTATCCAATAGAAAGAAGTATCACAAGGAAAGAAAAATTTTATCCTACCGGTGACTTGGGAGAGAGGAAAAATTCATCTTATTGGCGACTGCACTGCACCTACGAGACTGATTTTTTTATTTTTTATTTTTATTTATAAGTTGGCATATTTTTTTCATGTTATTTGAAACTTGAACCCACCAAACCTCATTCCAACCTGTTTACAGCAAATTAAAAGCACGTTTTACAACAAACCTTCAAAATGCGCTTTTAGACAGGCAGATAGACAAAGCAAACTAGTGCACTTGACATAAATAGTACTGAATGAACATAGCTTGAAAAACCTGTTACTAAATTACTTGATTCTCACAGACAAAGCAACAATACAATACTCAAACTGTTTTCTTTGACTCGAAAACTACTTCGCTTAGAGGGGCAAAATTTACCATGCGAACTCTGCAAAAATGGCAAAAGCTAAGGGAGAAAATGGAAAATGTAAAAGAAAGAAAGATGCAAATGTAAAAAAAAATAAAAATCAAGCACTGTAAGTTGCACATGAGGCGGTCCGGTGGTCCAAATAGGTGTATTAGCCTCCAATAAAGCACATGGCATATTCTTGTTTGAATTCACTTTACCATTTCACTAAATAACAGAAAATAAAACCAATTAAGACACAAAATCTCAAACAAGCATATTATGGAGGTCCCATTTTTCTCAGTTTCACAAAGAAAAAAAAATCCTATTTAGATGCTGAATAGTGTACTTTGACAGCTTTGTTCCCCTCTCTGCAACTATTGAGAACTTTCTGGCACATTTAATTGGCGGCTTTTGCAGTACATACAAATAAAAATACCATTTCATAGCTCTCGGATTCCAGCGGGCCCACTATAGCTGGAATAAAAAATTCAAAATTCCTAGTCTTGCAGAAACTTTTTTTCCAAGATCTTCTTCTCTCATAAGATGGAGCAACCATCAATCAAATGGCAGACTTGAAACTCCAAAATGTTGGTTCTATGAGGATGAAGGTACAGATGGTGATGACGACTTTGATGATGTCATAACAGCATGATAAGATAACAAGGCAAGTTGAGCCAGGGCTGGAATCGAGCCACCAGTTAATCCAGCACACCCTGATGAAAAAATAATCACTGATGGGGCACCAACGAGGAAATGCAACCACATTGGTCCTATAATCCACCTCCTAACAACCGGCATTGCGTGATTGAAGCCGTAGAAGGCACCAGCCGTACCACCGACTGCTGATCCTATCATAGAAAAGCTGTCTCTAATGAGCGGTGGTACAGTCCATTCGCTTGTCTCCAACTCTTTGGTGTCTTCTGCGGGTCGGGTTTTCCTTCTTTGGAATTAGGATTTGGACCTCCCACCATGGCTGGGGTACAGTGAGCTGGGTATAGCAGAAGCTTTCTTGCTGCTAGGTTAGTTGTCTGATGCTGCTAGGTTAGTTGTATTTTATTGCTAGGTTTTTTTTTTTTAAACAAACAACGCCCCGAGGGGCGGGGGATTAGGCTGGATCCCCAACCTGTATATAGATCATAGCCCTAAAATGGACCAAAACACTCAACATAGTCTCACAATCCAAACAGTACAGTAACGAAAACAACAAATGAAAATAGTACAAGGTCTGTCATCGGGCTACAGGTGCCCGGAATAAGTGGGTGGTCTAAGAAAAGCAAAAACCAAAAACCTAATCTACTGGAATCGAAACGATGGATATCCCAGCTGATCCATCCGAACTAGCGTGCGAAGGCGGAGTGGATCAGTGTAGGTCTGATATGTGTGCGTGTCTGGTATGGTAGCGCCAAGGCTGGCAAGGTAATCAGCAGGTCTGTTCCCCTCACGGAAGATGTGTGTGATCCTGTAATGGACAGACCGAAGTAGATCTCTAATGCGCATAAGCGGGTGCTGAATCTGCCACGAGCCCTGATGACCCGAGGACAGGAGGGTGACGACAGCCGCAGCGTCCAGCTCAATCCAAATATGACTAGAGAGGTCGGCAGTAATCTGAAGGCCAATCTGTAATGCCTGAATCTCCGCATCGTAGCTCGAGGAGGCCTGAAGGAACGTGTCGAAGGCGGTGATAAGAGCTCCACTGTGGTCCTGGATCAAGCCTCCACCTCCGGCAGTACCGCTATGGCGATCGGAAGATCCATCGGTGTTCAGCTTGACCCAAGGAGAGTCGGGTCGAAGCCAAACAACAGCTCTGGGCCGAGGGGACCGAACAGGCGGAGGGGGAGCCACTCTGTATCGGTGCGGTGGCATGCAGCCTGTCCAGTCACGTGCAGAAAGCCTGCCCAACACTGTGAGGAGCGAAATGTGTCTCTCCACCAGCAAAACAATGTGAGAAAGCAACAAAGTAATATCCCTATGCTTCGCACTATTCCTTTCCGTCCAGGTGAACCAAAGGATCAAACAAGGAATGAGGAAGCTCACGTGTCTAAATTGTGTGCTCTGCGAGAAAAAACTCAGAAGCTCAAAAAAACTGTCTGTGGAGGGTAGGGATATATGAGTCCAAGTAGCAAAATGCTCCCACACGCTCCTCACAATCTCACTCTCTAGAAAAAGGTGGGTAACGGTCTCGGTCTCATGACGTCCGGTCTCAGAACAACACACACATCGGGAGGGGAAGGAGATCCCCCTCGCATGTAACACAGTGTCCACGGGTATCCGGCGCAAGAGGAGGCGCCAAAGGAAAACAGATATGGTAGGGGTGAAAAGGTCGCTCCAGATGGCTCTGAAGAGAAGATTCGACCGATCTCTCAGCCTGATCTGCTCCCAAGCCGAGGTAGTAGAAAACACACCCGATGATGTAAGTCTCCACCTCATACCATCCGAACCGTCCCCCGAGATGGGTATCTGCTGGATCCTATCTAATAACTGCTCACTAATAACTGCTGTATTTTATTGCTAGGTTATTTCTTTCTTGCTGCTAGGTTAGTTGTCTTTTATTGCTAGGATATTTATTTCTTGCTGCTAGGTTAGTTGTCAACGGTCAACGCCGGAGTCAACGCCGGAAGTCAACGATTTTCACCGGAAGTCAACGATTTTCACCGGAAGTCAACGCCGGAAGTCAACGGTCAACGTCTGAGTCAACGGTCAACGCCGGAGTCAACTAATAATTATTTTATTATTTAATTAATGTATATTTTAATGGATTTTGATCTAAACAAAATGAGTGGCTAAGATTGAGTCTCACGTACTCATTTTAAGGAGTGGTCTTATTGGATCCGTCCCTTATATATATTGGATGCGAGAAATGAGAATAAATCGTAGTCATTGGATCCGATGATCTAACTTATACCAAAATTTCAGCATTTATTTATTCATTAAGGGTATTTTTGACATCTTAAAAATTAATGCCAACTAACACTAACCCACAGCCAATAGTTTTCTGACACGTGGCTACTACACCTCACCATCCCATCCACTCTTTATCTCTCACACATTCACACACACAGAACACACACACGCCTGCCCGCACAAAAACATGCACCCACACGCACTTCATCTCCCCGCCTCTATCAACCCGCCTGCACAACACCCAACGTCGCCGCATCCATCGGGAGACACACGCTGGCACTCCTCACTGCGACAATTTCCCCGTCGGCACCAACGACGGCCAAATCGTTTGTCAAACTCCCCGCCGACACTCCTCACTGCGACAATCTCCCCGCTGGCGCCGACGACGGCCAAATCATTTGTCAAACTCCCCGCCGGCAGTCCTCCTTGCGACAATCTCTCCCGCCGGCAGTCCTCACTACGACAATCTTCCCGTCGGCGCCGAAGAGAGATGCTCTCCACCGCTGCGTGTCGCCATTGATCAACTCCGCCCGCCGCTGTGAAATCGCCGTGATTCTCGCGGCTGGCATCGTCCAACGCCTCCTGTAGCTCAATCCACACCATCGTCGACGAGATAGGTGGCGTTACCGGCGATTTCAAAACCTGGAATTCATCTTTGAAATTGGGCATATGCTTTGAGAATTTGATTATGTACAGGGACCCTTTTGCAATTTTATAATTTTGATTATATTTCAATTTAACCCATTGGGTCAAATCTGTAATTATTGAAAATTAATAAAAAATTCTTTTTTATATATTTTGATATACACATATACTAAATAATAAATATATTATGAATTAAAATAATATAAAATATTAAAATAATTTAAAAATAACTTATAACAATAAATAAATTATATAATAAAAATAATAAATAAAAATATAAAATAATTAGATTTACAATTATATCTATTATAAATAGTTATTGAATACACATAATTTATATAGGAAATTATAGACTAGTGCACTTTATATATCGAAACGTTGTACTCTGTAAAACAAAACGCTGCAATGTATAAAACAACAAGTTGCACTTTATCATTACACTCTACAACTGAAATAATGTAAAATATTAAAATGATATAAAAATAAGTTTATTATATAAGTAAATTATATAATAACAATATTAAATAAAAATATATTTTAATGATTTAAGTTAATTTGATGTACAATTATATCAATTAAATAGTTTTCGTATACACATAATTTATATGTGAGGGTAGATAAATTAAAGCACGTTATATAGCAGAATGTTGCACTTTATAAAACAGCACTTGCACGTTATAAGACTACACGTTGCACTTTACCTACACACTCCGAAATTAATGTCACGTCTAAAAAATCAGATCTACATAATTGCACTTTATATATCAATATGTTGCACTTTATTAAACAACAAGTTGCACTTTATAATACGACACGTTGCACTTTATCTACACACTCCGCAATTAATGTCACATCTGATCTACATAATTGCACTTTATATATCAATACGTTGTACTTTATATAGAAATATGTTGCACTTTATAATACTACATATTACACCTTCTAAAACAACAGGATACGCGTACCAAAAAATCCGGTAAATGAACTAATCGATCAAATAATATTAGTTGGTTAAATGTCGGATTTAGTCGTTTTAAATAAATAAAATAACTACACATGCCAAACTATGTGAAAATATTACCAATTATTTTCAATTATAATATTTGTTTAATAAGAACCAATAATATCTTTTATATATTTTTTTTATGTACTGCGAGTGCACATCATGGCTATATTATTTGCACGTAGACGTCAACAGATTGCACAAAATTGAACGAGATCTAACGAAAATAAATTCAGTACGAAATTTTATGTATTGTTTCGATTATCTTTTTTTTTTTTTTGCCAGAACGATAGGGATAATATATATAAACTCGAAGGGAACCAAGTTCCAATTACAATGGGAAAATCCCGACTAACCGAAAAAGAAAAACATGAGAGATATAATTTTTTTATTTAAATAACTAAAATGAAATCCAAATTATATTAAAACTATATTTTTTATATTTTTTATATAAAAATATTAAGATATGATTTTCTATTGAAATATAAAAAATTAATATAGTGCATTTTTTGCATTATTGTGTATGTATTAAAATTTAATTATATTATCAATTTGCCTAATTGTACTTAATTGAAAATGTAACAAACTTTCAGAAATTGCAATTAGACCCAAATAATAAATCAAATTCTCACAAAACAACCCCAAAACTCAAACACACACATGATGGCCGACGGTGACCTGTTATTCGCCGCCGACATTCACCGGCGATTTTCCGGCGAGCGGTCAAGACGGCGGAGAAGTTTCACGCCATTGAAGGGGTCGACGGCCGCGGTGTTGACGGACGCGGAAGCGGGATGCTGATGGTGGGCTGAGAATGGCGACGACGACGACAGACGGATGGAGACGGCGGTGACAGACGAATGGCGACGGCGGCGAAAGACGGATGTCGACGGCGACAGATGGATGGCGATTGACGATGGCGACGGCGGCGGGTGGCGTATGGTCAACGACTAGTGGTGGGTGGTAGAATCTGGCGATGGTGGGGCGGCGCTGGGTGAGGTCGGAGACGACGGGCGGTGGCTGTGGGCTGGAGTGCCGCCGTGTGTGTGTGTGTGTGTGTGTGTGTGAGACCTGCGTGCATGAAAATCAGATTTGTGTGTGTGTGTGTGTTTGTGGATGTGAGATTGGAGAGGGGAAGGGTTATGGTGGGGTCCACTATTGGTGTTTAATTTATTAATAGATATGTAATGACTAGTTTACCCCTAGTGAGTGGCTAAAAGCATATATTTGACCACCATTTATATCCGTATTTACGATACTACCACTCATATTTAACCATTATTTATTTAATCTTGACTTGATCATGACCATTGGTTTGGTGGATCCAATGGTGCAGAAACATTCTTATTTCTTTCACTATCACTCATTCTCATATGATCCCTTCTCTCTCTCTCTCTCTCTCTCTCTGTCTCTCTCTCTCTATATATATATATATATATATATATATATATATAACCAAATAGGATAACATGTATATGCAAAGTATAACTTTTGCTAACTTATTAATACTAATTAAATCAAAGTTAATAGTTTAATTAGCTATCTTTCTAAAAAATTTATATTTTAAGGATATCAAATAGGCACATAGTTTTGGGATTTTATTAACAAGAGACTTATTGAGAGGCTGGGTTATCACATATTACAGTTATAATAATTAAACATTCGTGATCATCATACTGCATAATATCTAACGAAATCGACCACACTATAATTTTCTGTTCAAAATTTTATATTTCGGTTCAATTATTATATTTTTTAATTTAAAAAATAATCAATTATTTCAGTTCAATGTATGATTTTTTTATTTAAATAATCGAATGATTGAACTATTATAAATATTATAATTATTTCTTTTATATTTTTTAGGTAAAAATATTATTTATTTCAGTTAATAAAATATAAAATATTAAATTACTAGTTATATTTCAATTTATTACAAAATTGATCCATGAACTAAATTGTGATATATTTAAAATTATGAAGTTGCTATTAAGTCCCTATCTATTACAACCTTTCCATAACAAACCTCAATATTAATCTAATTCACACTAATAACACCACAAATCCAAATCTCACAATCTGAAATCGAGAGCTTCATCGAGGAAAAAAAAGAAAAAAGAAATCGAGAGCTTCAAAAGCAGAAACGCTGGCATCAGGAAACAGCTCGCCATAGAAGTGTATGTCTACGGCTGAGTTAAGTTCCGCCAGCAGCGGGCGGGCGGGCGGTGCGGTGCGGTGCGGCGGCCGGCGGCCGAGAGGAAGGGGTAGGCATGGGAGAATAAAGCTCGGGCGGTGGGCGGGCGATTTGGCCTGGTGGTCGGACGAGAGACGGCGTTGGATTGTTGGATACGCGATGGCTCAGTCGAATGGAGGCGGGGGACTGGTGGCATCGAAGGAATCCTGGTGGCTGTGGTGTGGTGGACTCGTGGCGGCAGCCGACGGGGAAGGAGGAGGCGAGATGGCTCAGTCGAGGGAAGGTGGTGGACTGGTGGCGGCGGAGGATTCCAGTGGCTGGGGTGTGGTGTACCTGTGATGGCCAAAATTTTGAGTGTGTGTATGTGTGTGTATGTGTGTGTGAAATTGCAGATATGAAATCGAGAGGGAGAGATGTGATGAGAGAGAAAATAGTTATTTAATTGGTGAGTGGGTCATGTGTATTGACTAACTTACCCCTAATTAATGGGCAAATGTACATATTTGACCACACTATGATCAAATAATTACTTGAATGCCATTAATGATTGACCATAGTTTGACTTCATCATACCCATTGATATGATTGATCCTATGGTGCAGATTCATTCTAATTTCTTTCACTATCTACCATTCTCATATGATCCCAACTCTATATATATATAGAGAACGGATCCAATGAGACCACTCCTTAAAATGAGACGTGAGACTCAATCTTAGCCACTCATTTTGTCTAGATCAAAATCAATTAAAATATACATTAATTAAATAACAAAATAATTATTAGTTGACTCTGACGTTGACCGTTGACTCCGGCATTGACCGTTGACTTTCGAAGTTGACCCGTTGACAAATAACCTAGCAGCAAGAAATAAATAACCTAGCAACAAAAGACACTCAACCTTGAGTGGTGTAGTGGTTGCATTGCTTGTCTTGCTTCCATGAGGTACCAGGTTCAAATCCTATGGGTTACAATTTTTTTATAAAAAAAAACATAGCAATAAAAGACTTATAAAAAAACATAGCAATAAAAGACAACTAACCTAGCGGCAAGAAAGAAATAACCTAGCAGCATCAGACAACTAACCTAGCAGCAAAAAAGAAATAACCAAGCAACAAAATACAACTAACTTAGCAGAATCAGACGCTAGCAGCATCAGACAACTAACCTAGCAACAAGAAAGAAATAACCAAGCAACAATATACAACTAACTTAGCAGAATCAGACAACTAACCTAGCAACAAAACTCAACTAACTTAGCAGAATCAGACAACTAACCTAGCAACAAAACACAACTAACTTAGTAGCATCAGACAGCAGCAAGAAAGAAAAAAAAGACAACAAATGCTCTCACCTCTCTCTAGCTTTCTCTCTCTAGGATTTTTTCCACCCTCACCCACCGCATCCCCTCCCCCCCAGCCACTACCCCAGACTAGGCAACCACTCCGGCCCCCGCCGGCGGCGGCATCCCCGGCCGGCGGGGTTTTTCTCTCTTTTTCTTATCTTTTATTCGTTCTTTAGTTGATTTTCAATCGTTTTTCTTAATTTTCGGCCATGGCCCCTCCGATTAGCAATCTGGCCAACAGACTAACTCCAACACCCATCCAAGATGCAGATTTGGAGTTGCTCATTTCACAACCGGAACTGCGAGTGGCTTTTTCAGCTCTTCTCGCAAATTACAAAAACAGAAATATGGCAGAAAGAGAAGATAAAACCGTGGAAGAAGGAGAGATTGTGGAAATTTTGGAAACAGATTCTTCTCTCGGTTCCCAGAAAAATGGGCAAGAAAAAATAAAAAAAATCCCATAAATAAATCTCAATCCAACGAAAATGGCGGAGCACCAATTATCGGGTCCTCCAATGGCAAATCGCCGGTCACTTCGCGATCGATCTCCGCCGAGGCTGTGGATGTCGTAAATCAGAATTGTCTTCCAGTTCACTTTGGCTAGTTACCGGCGTTGTCAAAGCTGGTGCAAACAGACAATAATGGTGAATGTCAACAAAAATATTTGAATAGCGGCGCCTCAGACAATCGAAACCCTCAGCTGCTAGCTCAAATGGTTTCAGACCATACACCTTTGGGCCAAGTTCGGACTTTAGGCCAGAATTTGGTTGGGCCCAATACCAATTCATCCCTTCCTCACCCATTTATAACATCACCCCTTCAGCCCGATCCCAATAACCTTTTTAATCCTCAGGCCCACACATTTTCAACCACATCTCAGCCCATCAACATCGAAACCGCTATTTCCATGCAGCCCACTCCTCATATTCAGGACCGTTCTACCTCTTTCGACCCCCAGCCCACCACCGAGGCCGACACCTCCAAACTCATACATGCCAATCTCCATCCCGCCATCTGCCAACCAGCTGCACCCTCTATCCGACCGACAGGTGACGGCCACTTGCCCGGCGCCGGCGCCGTCACGGCCACCGGAAAATCACAACCGGACGGCGCTACATCCGGGGAGGCTTCGAAATCGGCCCTTACGGCCGGAATTCTAGGACCACGGCCAAATTCACCATCTCTGCTCGAACACTTCACCAGAATATTCACTTCTGAAGCCGGAGACCTTGAAACAACCGTTTTGTATGTTCGGAAAGATGGTGCGGTGGTTGCGAGCCCGAGTAAGGCATCCGCGAGCCATTCTACCGGACATTCCCTGAACAGGACGGCACTGACGGGCCCATCCACGGCTAACCCCGCTTCAGTCGAACCTCTTCCGGCCACTCTTACTGGCCCGCTTTCGTTCCGAGAGGCCATTACGGGGAGGAGAGATGGCGGCACGGGCACCCCGCGACCGACGGCCAAGGATTTTACTTTTGACGGGAACTACGAGCACGCTTGCGGAACCATCATCCGCGCGGAGGGGAACAAAGTGAAGGCTCGATACTCTGAAGCCGAATCTGTCGCTCTTGCAGGTAAGCTGGCTAACACCCTGGTCTTTAAGTTTTCATATGCTATCCCTGCCCCCCGAGATATAACTGCTTGTTTAGGAAAGCTGGGTTTTAAGGGTAGGGTGTCGTCGAAGTGGTATAATTTCAACCACCTCCTAGTGTCTTTTCACCTTCCCGAGGACTATAACGAGGTCTGGCTTAAGACCTCCATTCATTTGTGTGGATGCCCAGCTAGGGTGTTCAAATATTATGTCGGGTTTAACCCGAAGACGGAGGCACCGGTCGTCCCCGTGTGGTGCCGCCTTCCCGGCCTCCCACCCCATCTTTATGATCGTGCTGCCATCACTACACTAGCTAAGTGTATTGGGCAGCCGATTCGTATCGACGCCCCGACGGTCCTTCAAACGAGGGCTAACGTGGCGCGATTCTGCGTCGAGGTAGATCTGAGAGCTGAGCTCGTCCATGAGATTGAGATTGAACAGGGCTCGGAGTCCCTTACTCAGCGGGTGATCTATGAGAAGATCCCCGCGTTCTGCACCTCGTGCAACCACGTGGGTCATGTTGCGGCCGATTGCTACATCAGTGGCAATAAGCCACGGCCCGCTCTCCCGCAGCGCCATCGTGCGACCCAACAGGGAACCTCCACCAGCCGGAGGGACCCGAAAGGAAAGGGCAAAAGCCCTCTTCGCGCGCCCGAGACCCCGAAGGGGTCTAAGGATAAGGGCAAGGCTGTGATTGTCGATACTGCCCAAACTAGGAACGATGCTCATCCTAACCAGCCTAAGCAGTTGGCCTTAGTGGGTCCCAAGCCCAAGTCCACGGGCTTTCTCCCTAGACAGACCTTACAGACGGCCTTCAAGGCCAACCACTCCTATTTTGCTATTCTCTCCCCTGAGGCAGAGATGGATGTTGTTCCTTCCTCCAGCAGGCCACCTAAGATTACCGATCTTGCGCTTCTGGATGACGATGACCTCCTTGGAGACGACATGGTCCGGCTGGACGCCACACCCAGGGTAGAGTCCATCCACCTATCCGATGATAGTGTGCGCGATGTCGGTCCTTTGACCGTGCGCGCATCTAGCCCCGTCCGATCTTCAGATTTGAGGGCTACTGCCATCACCGCTCCCCCGAAAGGGGATGAGTCGGCCCATCCACCCCCTGCTGGAATTGGGAGCTCGGTCGATCTTATAGCCATCTCCCAGCCTCCTCCTACCGGCGAGTACCCGAGTGCTCTGCCTGCTGGACCCCCTCTTTCACCCATCCCCGAGCAGATATGCGGGCTTAACCGCGCGCAGCATGACGTCTCGTGCGAGAGCTTCGCCTCTAGTGCATTTCTTCACCTTGACAGACAGGAGACAGCCCCGGAGATGGGGCAACCCGCTAGTGCTGCTATAGGTCAGTCTGTCCAGCCAGACGACTCACAGGCCACGAGTACATACCAAGGCAGACAGAACTCGAGGACCAGAGCCACGCAGAGCATGAGACGGCGGACGATCTCTCCTGCTATTGGACCCCTCCGCCGCACGACACGACGGACGACGTCCCCTTCTTTAGGTGGCCCGAATCAGCCTCGCCATAGGCGGACTACATCCGGTGGCTCCTGCAACCGTTGATATGCCCATCACATCCATTACTTGGAATGGCCGTGGCCTGGCGAACAGGGCTACTCTATCTCACCTTCACTCTCTCATTCGTGACCACAGAGTCGATTTTGTTGGCTTTATTGAGCCGATGATTCGCACTCCTTCTTTTGAATACTACTCGCGTCGCTTGGGTTTCCACTCGGGCGTGGGTAATAATTCGCACAAGATCTGGTTTTTCCACTCGCGTGACTACACTTGTCGGGTCCTCCGCGACACCGATCAGGTGCTTCACGTTGAGATTTCCGCTGGCCACCTCCCGGAGCCCATCTTTCACACCTTGGTTTATGCCAAGTGTACTAGGGTCGGGCGATATGACCTTTGGGACACCCTGCGTGAGATTTCCAAAAGTATGGAGGGATTGCCATGGATGGTTAGTGGCGATTTCAACATCTTTCTGCATCCCGATGAGCGTGTGGGTGGCCGCACGGACCGGTCACGGGAGATGTGGGATTTTGCTCAGGCGGTGGCGGACTACGAGTTAATTGACGCTGGATGTGATGGTGAGCCCTTCACGTGGGTGAGGGACGGACTCAAAGAGTGGTTAGACCGTGCCTTAGTTTCTGAGGCGTGGTCGAAGGTGTTTGCGGTTACGACCGTCACACACCTTACTCGATTCGGGTCCGACCATTCACCCCTTCTCATCCGGTGCCGATTTTCGAGCACCCGCCGCCGCTCTTCGTTTAGGTTCCAAAACATGTGGGTTCGCCACCACTCCTTCCACGACACTGTCAGGGATTCCTGGCTTCAGCCGACTGGGCTCTTCGAGATGAGCAATCTCGAGGCGAAGCTCGGCAGACTGCGGCGTCGGTTGAGACAATAGAACTGGGATGTTTTTGGAAACCTCCATCAGCGCCTTGTTGCGGCTCAGAGTGCGCACGCGACGGCTGAGCGGGCCTATGACCTGGATCCCACTCCGGAGAATAGGACTGCCATGCACTGCTACCACGCCGAGTACCAACTCCGACTTCTTATGGAGGAGGACTTCTGGAAGCAGAAGGCGGCCGTTCGCTGGGTGGTCGAGGGCGAGCGGAATACTAGATTCTTCCAGGGCTACGTTAGGAAGAAGCGTGCTAAGTCGTACATCCATAGTATAGAGGCTGATGGGTCATCCTTGACCCAGGAGGCTCAGATTCGGGAGTCGGCTGTTGCTCACTTCCAGACCCTCTTTACCTCTGACAGAGGGTCCCTGGTGGCCCCGACCACTTCTCTTTTCCCCACCATCCCTCCTTCGGTCGATCTCATTGGCCTCTGTGAGCTCCCGAGCAGGGAGGAGGTTAGGGATGCTGTATTCGGGATTGATCCCAACAGCGTTTCTGGCCCGGATGGTTTCTCCTCCCTCTTCTATCAGGTCTGCTGGGACCTTGTCGAGACTGACGTCGAGGAGGCGATGTTGGATTTTTTCTCCGACAACCGGATGCCAGATTCCTTCACGTCTACCTCTGTCGTCTTGATCCCCAAACGACCCAACCCAAGCTCTTGGTCCGATTACAGGCCCATCAGCCTGTGTAATGTGACCAACAAGCTCATTTCGAAGATTCTTAACGGCCGTCTTTCCCCTCTTCTTACCTACCTAATCTCTCCGAACCAGAGTGGATTCGTCAAGGATCGTGTCATTAGTGATAACATCCTTCTGGCCCAGGAGATGATCAACGACATCTCTCGAGCGGACTGGAAGCGGGCTCCGAATATCGTGCTGAAGCTAGACATGGCTAAGGCGTATGATAGGGTTGAGTGGTCGTTTCTTAGAGAGGCGTTGGCTAGGATGGGATTCCCTGAGCGTTGGATCAGCTTTGTGGAGGCGTGTGTGGAGCATTGCACGTTCTCGGTCCTGGTTAATGGCAGCCCACCGATTTCTTTCCCTCCTCTAGAGGCCTTAGACAGGGCGACCCCCTTTCCCCTTCCCTCTTCGTCCCTCCGGCGGACTACCTCTCTCGCTGCCTTGACGGCTTCATCCGCGATTCTCCTCATATGACCTATAGCACCCGTGGCTATGGTCCTACCATCTCTCACCTCTCTTATGCGGATGACATCATTATCTTCACCCGGGCGGATGATGATGGACTGGTCGAGCTTATGCGCCTTTTGGAGCACTATAGCTTGGTCACCGGTCAGCTGGTCAGTGTGCAGAAGAGCACCTTCATCCTTTCATCTGCCACCGTGGACAGGTGGGCTCAGCGGGTCCACGACATTACTGGCTTTGCACGTGGCGACCTTCCCATTACCTACCTCGGGGTCCCTTTATATAAGGGCAACCTCATGAGAGCGCTCTTTGCAGGCGTCAGGCAGAGGATGATCGACAGGATCTCTGGTTGGTCGCATAGATATCTTTCTTTCGGTGGTCAGCTAGCGCTGATCAAGAGCACTCTTAGCTCTCTTCCGATTCACTTGCTTATGGTCCTCGATCCCCATAGGTCTACTCTTGACGAGCTTGACCAGACTATGGCTCGATATTTCTGGGGTTATGAGGACGGGTCTGGGAGGGGGAGACGTACTCAGGGACATTGTTACAGCTTTCTCATACAAGCTGTGGTGGCGCTTTAGGGAAGGAAAGTCGCTTTGGGCTCGGTACCTTCGCGGCAAGTACTGCCCTAGACGTGCCAACCACCC